TTCCAATAAAGACAGCTTCCCCACTGGAAATTATTCCCACGTGAAGGAGATGGAAGAAACAGGTTATAGACCCCCCTAGGTAACATGTGGCTTAGTTCTAATGGGAGAGCAGACAGCCTGATGACTGCACTCCAGAAACCAGCCTATAGCAGTAGGCAGGGCGATTACTATCCTGCACTGAGACAGTTTGGGCTTACCAAATGACACCTGTCACAGGTATACTCTTGAGACGTTCAAAAGCCAGAACAATGACCACAGTGGCTATGTAAATATTTAAGCAGACCCAGTTGTATTTAAGGGGGGAAATGTATAAAAACCAATAGCTCATTCTACATTGAAACGAACAGAAATCAAAAGTCACTTTCCTTAATAGACAGTTCAACTTGGAGCTAATACATTTAATTCTGCTTTACATAGTTTGTAATATGAAACTAGCTCATGCCCTTGTGCTCAGCATTACTCAGGAACAACAATCACTTCCTGTTTATATATTCACCCATACTATTTCTAATTAGAAGCACATCTTTACCCTTGAGTGTACATTCAAAGGTAGCCTTTTCACTCAGTCATACTCAGTTTCCTTTTTTACTAGTCTCCATCTCATGTGGTTTTTGTCCATGTAAGTCCCATAATAACATTTTGGGTGGTCAAAGTGGACTTCTCTGTCCATTTTTCACCAGTGGAAAAGCTGGTTGGATCCAGCCCACTGTTTTCCAGTCAGAAGTTATCCTCCACCCTTGTGGCTGATTTCTCCCTTAGTTTCGATGGTTTGTTTTATCCATAAAATGATATTATGTCCTTAGAGGCACTAACTAGATTTCTCCTCTTGACTAGAGTTTGAAACCAGATAGCTTTGCGGAGCCTAGTTATAAGGGGCTCTAGTTATGTGTAATCATGTTTAAAATGGATGCAGACATAATGCTAAACGACTCCAGGAAAAGTGGGAAGACAAGAGTGTGAGGGCACGGAACCTGCTCCTGCTCTTCTGAAGTAGCCACAATATTGTGTACGTGTGCACCAAAGTCCAGGATGGAATTAGGGCCTGCCTTCAATATGACTCCTTTATGAAAAAACGGGTACATTGTATCTATAATTAATGATATCATATTAAAGAACTAGAAGGAAAGGAGTAACTAGCCCTCCTCACCTGCTTAATGATTTAAGTGCTGTCATTGCTCCCATTTGCTTCAAGTGTGTCTTCATTTTCTATTGTGCATGAGCCACGAGCAGATTTTCTTCTTCTTCTTTGTTGTCCTTAATATGTGTCACTCTTTAACACAGTACATTATGGGATCCATATTCAGAGATGTGTGAGGTCAATGTGGTTTACCCTTGCTTCTTACTTGTTTTAACTTCATCCAACCCCTTTCTTCTCATGTCTTGAGGGTTCTTTTTTGATTTAGCTTTATCATCCTGCCTCTTCTGCAAACTTAAGTGGGGCCAGGGCAATTCTTTTTGTAAAGAAAAAACACAATGGGCAACTCCAGCAGTTTGCATGTTATTTCTTTCTTTAATAAAGGAGGCCAGATATTCTTCTAGAGGAAAGATACACATCTCCAGAGCTAAATGAGCACACAGTCAATACATGGTCATCCGCATTCTGCAGTAGTGATCGACATTACATGCAAAAGACTTGAAACAATCATAGATGGTATAGATGCAAAAAAACTTTTAAAAAATCCAATGCTCCTCTAACATGTAGAACAAGGTTTTAAAGTCCCATACAGCACTAACCAGCAGTTTATGCCATGTATTATTTTCTATTAGATTAATATTGTCCATGGACAATATCAGCAGGTTACCCTTAGAAGCGAGAATAAACTGGAATCTTAAAAGTAGAAACTGCCCTTAGTATAAACCTAATGGAGGCAATATGGGGTTTTACTATATGTATACAAAAGCCAAACACTTCCAGTACTATCCAGCAGACTTCAGTCTAACTGAAATTTTGAGATACACTGGGACATGATATTACCAAAATAGACTCCTCTAATAGACTTACTAAGGTTTCCTTTGTCTCCATCACTTTAAAGCACTGGGATAATTACAGGCATCGAGGAAGGAAAGATATGCTAATTATAGCAAATGGTGAAAAAATATCCCCTCAAGATTAAAAAAAAATCAGCTGTATTTCAAACATGTAATATTAATGAATAAAAATTCTATTTTTTCTACAGAAATTGCATTGTTTCATGGCACTGAGAGTGTTGTGACAAAAAAAAGATCCCTGAAATCAGTAGTCAGCAAAAAGTAAAAGTCAAACATACAAAAAAAAATGACAAAACATATTCAATAATCCCCCCCAAAAAAATATGGTGAAATATGATCTGTCTCTTGCACTTTTAAATAGCAATCTGCTCCTAATGGCATTTGTCCCTGTGCCACAGTAGCAATAAATCTAGGCAGAAAGGAATAAGTTTAGTAACAGTTTAAAAAATCAAAATTAATCGCCATGTAATCTTCTCATTCTTAAAGATTCAAGGAGATTGAATAGAGCTGCATGCAGACTATAAGGCAGCATCCTGAGGTGGTTTTACCATGAAAGTTCAAATGAGGGGGAGGGGCTGGGCTTAAGCTGGCAGAGAACAATGTTTAATTCTTGCATCCAGTTCCATAGCCAATCAACTGTTCTACACATAATATAAACTGGGCACTTGGTTTATCTCTATGCACAGTGTTATTTCCACTTTTGCAAGGCACAAGGGCATTTCTGAGTGAAGAATTACTCGGTTGTGTCTGAACGTGTCATCTTGAACCTGCCATCACGTAATAGCAATTATCTGTCTTTTGCCCAGGACACTAATGGATTCAAAACTAACAAAAAAGAACCATGGCATTTCAGCTCCAATTGAATTATGAGAGAAATCACTCCGTTTTGGGAGAGACAATTCACCAAACACATTGTTCCATTTTCTTCACGGTAAAGTGCTATTGTGGATTTTACACTGCTTATTCCGCCATCACCCTCCCACCAAAATCCCACCTGGCCTGCAGCAGTACTGTGCATCAAGAAACTAGAATCATATCCTCAGGAGAGCTGTCTGAAACAAGATTCTTCGACGCTGTGGGGTCAGGCTGCAATTTGGCTCAGCATGACTCACGCTGCAGATGGATAGGCAGAAGTATCCTTAATGCAAGTTACAATTACTATTAATCATCATTAACATCTTCATGGCCTATCACTTACCATGCAATTGCATTACATCGTTTTTCCTGTGTGTGCTCAGTAAAAAACAAAACAAAAACAGGGACCACCAGCTTGTTACTTGTACCCTTTGTGACCATCTTTTCTACAGTACAGGGCTCAAAAAATAGGCAGCATTAATACTGAATATTCCCTCCCCCCCACACCAAAGGGCCCGGAGATAATGAAGTGCAAAATCCTTGGTAAAAAGTCTTTCTTAATGTGCTACACATTTCATGTATAAGAGGCTTTCCTTTCCGAGTGTGGCAGAAAAACAAATTAGACTGCTAATTAGGTCGTTTTTAGAGGCTGACATAATAGAGACATTGACCCCTTCTTTTGACTAGACCTGGAGGAATCTTCTCAGGGTATATTTATATACAAAAATGAAGGGCTAGGCAAATGCAGTGTGTTATAAGGGCCCATTTTCTCTTGTAGCTCTACTGTGTCCAGCCTGCAAGCCAAAAACAGTTTCAGATTTAAGCAGCTTGGCACCAATTCCATGATAAGGTGAAAGTTCTCAAAAGGGCAAAGTTTTAGGGCTATTAATCTCCTTCTCAACAGACCCTGATTCTTTCCTTGGGACCAGTGAAGTCAGTCAGCATAATCTAGGACGAAGCTTGCTCTACAGTTTTGCACTGTTGCTGCCTCTCTCTCTCTCGCCTAATGCAAAGGGAGAGTGATCCTTGATAAAGCCCGGAATTGCTGCTCTTCACTGAAGTTATCATCTGGTTATTCTCATAAGCACTTGGGGAGGGGGGGGGGGAGATTCAGAGCAAGAACTACTTTGAACAGAGATTCTAAGAGCTAGAAAGGTACATTAGCACCGCTCTGTTAAGTGTTATTCACTGTGAATTAGTGCAGGGTACTGGAATATTAATTCACCTTGGATTTTGCCTTGTCACAGAAGCTGCTTCCTGAAATATCTTAGCCTGCCCACTACTGAGAGAAACTGGCTCTTCATTGAAGATTAAAAAGGGCTGGGGATTGTATTGCCCTTGGTGGGGATACTGTGGAGATGCAGACTTTGGAGATGCAGACTCTTTCAGCAAGGGCTGAGGGAATTCTGGTGGCCCTGAAATAGCTATCATAATATATTCTGGGCTACAATTAAACTTGCTATGTGTAGAAATGTTGGGAACCAAGTTTGTATTGAGTGGCTCCTTAAGTATTTCAAGGAGATTGATGTGCACTTAACTCGTATTACCTTACAAGGTTGTTTTTGGTTTGCCTGATATTAATATTGATCTGTTTTTTTCTGCCATGTGTAAGTTCAGTGTATTTTACAGAGAGATGTTTGGGAGACCAGACTTTGCCTCAGCACCTGTCTTACAGTCAGGGTATTTATCTGAATCCCTTTAAAAATGTACCTTGCTTGCTTTCTAACTGTAATATTTTGGAGTATCTTACTCTTTCCTGAGATGAAATAACTTAGTAGTATCTGCTTTCCTCAGGTATGCTTTCCTCATATTTGGGCAAGAACTGTCAACCTCATCTGATCATGTGTTACCTGTTGCTCTGTGACGAGGGACTACAAGTTACTACTTCAATATTCCAGGATGCTACTAACAAAGTAAACTTACAAATACCTGTAGCCATACAGTAGGTTTTTGATATCAACATGTGCATGTTTTAAAGGCAGTCATGACAATCCACTTTAATTTTTTTTTCTTGTAAAATAATGAAATGGATAACCTTCACCATATCTGTGCTTTAACTGACTATTTAGGCTTTCGGAATTTGGAGTCATCCTAGGTTCGGAGTCCCCAAATCTTGTGGAACCATCAGCCGATGAGCTGAGAAGTCATGACCCCCCCCAGGCTTCTTCTGAAAAGCGTACTTAAATTTCCAGGGGGCTCACAATAGTAAAGTCAGAATCCTTGCTGTTGCTGCTGCTGTCATCATCGGGGCTGGAACTGAGGTTGCTAGAAGAGGCAGACATGGAACCCATCAGTGGGTCTGAAAAGGCTAAAGAAGAGCGACACAGAGCCTCGCCCTTTGTGGTTGCTTCCTTGCACGGCGGCACAGTCCGCACACGCTCAAAAGCACTGCTAACATTCCCTTCCTCTTCTTTGGAAACTAGGATATAGTCATCGCTGTGCTTGTTGCCAGAGCTTCCGCTTGTGTCAGAAACATCCTGTGAAACAAAACATGAAAGATTTAGAGTAAGTCAGTGGATCAAAGCAGACACAATGATTGATCCATAACTAGATCTTCCAAGCTTTCCCACCCCCAAAGTAACATTACAGGCATGCAAGGCTGCTATCCAAATTGCTGTCATACAGGGAAGGGAAAAGTGGTTTAACTCTTCTACTCCTACAGTTACACCTCTTGAATCTACCTCTCCACCCTCCTAAGAGAAGGTGGGGAGGTGTTTCTGACAGGTGAAAACATGCAGAGGTAGAAGAGTTACAAACCTTGTACCCTTCCTGCATGGCCCTACTCCAAATTGGTTCTGAAACTCATCTGTAATAAAACATTGAGAGGTACAATATTTCCATCCATTGTAGCTTGATCTTCTGCATGCTCATTTATTATGCCATGTCTATTTCATCTCCCATCACAGCTGGCACTATACTTTTACTACACTGCTTGTCACTGACTCTGCAATTAATGCCACATGAAGGTACATGCCGGTAAAGGTATGCATAGAGGGGATCCTTTTGGGGACTTCAGGGATTGTGTTCAGTTTTGGCCACCACAATTTAAGAAGGATATAGACAAGCTGGAATGTGTCCAGAGGAAGGAAATGAAGATGGTGAGGGGTCTGGAGACCAAGTCCTATGAGGAAAGGTTGAAGGAGCTGGGTATGTTTAGCCTGGAGAGGAGACGACTGAGCGGTGATATGATAACCAACTTCAAATACTTGAAGGGCTGTCATATCGAGGATGGTACGGAGTTGTTTTCTGTTGCTCCAGAAGGTCAGACCAGAACCAAGAGGTTGAAATTAAATCAGAAGAATATTCGGCTAAACATTGCGAAGAACTTCCTGACAGAGCGGCTCCTCAGTGGAACAAGCTTCCTCGGGAGGTGGTGGGCTCTCCTGCTAGATGGCCATCTGACAGCAATGCTGATTCTGTGAACTTAGGGAGATCATGAAAGGGAGGGTAGGAAGGGATGCACCAGTTCTTGTGGCCCTTTCTTACACACCCAGGGAAATGCTGATTGCCACTTTGGGGTCAGGAAGCAATTTTTCTCCAGGCCAGTTTGGCTGGAGATCCTGGATTTTTTTGTCATCTTCTGGGCATGGAACAGCGGTCACTGGGGGTGTGGAGGGGGAGGTGTTTGTGAATTTCCTGCATTGTGCAGGGGGTTTGACTAGATGACCCTGGCAGTCCCTTCCAACTCTATGATTCTATGAGTCTATGAAATAAGGGCTCTCTTGCAAATCACTAAGGATCACTAGGTTCAGGGGTCTTGTTGTAGAAAAAGAGCTGCCGGAGCTCATTAGCATAACTCATTAGCATAACTTATTTGCATATGCCACGCCCCCTGACATCACCGGAAGTGACAGAAAGCCACACCCCTTGACATCACCGGAAGTGTGTCAGAAGGCCCGGCTACTTACCCTCCTGCTTCATCCTCATTCCCAAACGGAATGAGGATCGAAGCAGAGGGCGGGGTAAAGAAGGGGGCGGGGCTTCACCACGTGACCGCCCCACCCCCTAGAGGTTCTCTTCCGGAGCTCCGTACCTGAGAGCTCCCCCCCGACTAGAGCCCTGACTAGGTTTATATTTGTTAAAGGTGTTCTATAACAAGTTCTATAACATGTACAATACTTACAGTGCAATCCTAAACACAGCTGCACCCTTCTAAGCTCACTGATTTAAATGGATTCAGAAGGGTATAACTTTGCTTGGGATTACATTATTAAGGATATCTGTACTACTCCCCTCCACCTCCAATCTGCAATGTTGGTGAATTGAATACCAGCATGTTTTGTTACATATGATGGTGTACCCTCCCCCTCTCAACATGGATATTCCTTGTATGTAGAAATATGTCATGTGTGAGAAACATCAGTTAGGCTGAATGCTAACTGTAGCACTGTCAGTAATATATTTTAAAATAACCTGATTGTACAGGTTAAAATAAGAAATCTAACTTTCTACACAATTATTTTCTCAACTCTTGTCCCTACCAAAATATAAACTTTCTTTGGCATATACTAGTTTTTCTAATGCCGGTATTTCCAGAGGTGAAATATCTCCACACTACTTTCTCTGCCAATTTCTGTTCAGGAAAACTCATAGTGACATGAAGCATGTTTTCTCCCATCTGTCGCTGCTATTGAATAAATGAAAAATGACAGAATTATACTTCCAGTCGCTTTGAAAGTTAACAACCTTCCACCCAGTGCCATATGGCTTCCCAGAACATTTTTCCTGATGAGGATTCGCTAGCAGATTGAAACTTATTCTTGACCACCTACAGTACAGTCGGCTGAAACAAACAAACAAAAAATAGTTTAAAATGGCCTGCAAAAGTTTTAAGAGAGTGCACTTCTCTTTGGCCATCCATGAAGTGTGAGGTAGCTGGACAGATGGAAAGCATTCTGGGGAGAGCAGAAAAACAGTTCTAATCCCATCTCAGTTTCTTTATTTATTTATTTTTAAAAAAACAAGAACAGGAGGGGAAGATTCACAGAGGGATTTTGAATTTCCCTCTGGGTCAGTTCATATTTAAATTCCATCCAGTGTAGCCTTTTTCAATCACAGTAATGCAGTTCAGAGATAATTTTAGACTCTTGTCTTAATGGTTTTATGACAGCCCCCTTTAGGTGATGATGGCCCCCGTCACACGGGCCGGATAATGCGGGGGGGGGAGGCGTGGCTATTTGCGCTGTCGCAGTTTGATCCGTGATTATGCATTCAGACACAATGGCGGCTCCTCCTTTGGCACCCGCGGCAAACAGGACGATGGGGGAGAAAGCTGCACGCTGGCATGATCACACTGGGGGATCCGCATGCAGCCCGTGGCAAACCATTTGCCAGTAGGTCGTCCCGGGTACTTTTTTAATGCGCATCTTCGGTGGGACGCCCCAGGAGCACTACACCTCCCAGATGTTCCGGTGTGATCGGGGCCAATATATATTTTCAGTGTGAAACCACAGTCTGCTTTTCCCTGGCTATTGACCCCAACATCTGGCCCCAACAGCTCCACTGGGATAGGAAAACTACCACTGAAAGAATTACCTCATCTTAGCACTTAAAACTGAAGGTATGAAATATGCATATTTACTAGATACAATTTAGTCTGTCTTATTCCTGTGCAAATTCTAAACATTAGGGCTGCACCATAATCCATTGCTCGCTAGTCTAGTAAAAAGAAAAAATAATTGGTCAGCTGATGCCACATGGTAGTTTGGCCAATGTGAACAAGTCTTGTGTGCTCCCTCCTGCTTTCATATGATGCAAATTCCTACTTTTCCTTCATGGCAAACCATGGTTTGCTCTTAAATGCAAATTAGTAATGTATGATTGGTGCTTGCTCTCCAGGCCATAGTTGGCAGCTACAATCAAACTTTGGTTCCCAGTTCTGGTGGGAGACAAACACAAGCCACAGTTTTCCAGGTTGGTTGTACTGGCAGAATGGCTTGCTGTGAAACAGGAGACAACGGCAGTGTGCAAAGAGGAACAAAGGAGCAGATGGAATAGAAGCCTATGAGTTTGAAACTTGCAAGGGCAAAATTGTAAACTTGTCAACTGCCTGGAAAAAAAAATCCTGACCCTTCAGTAGAGGCAGAATAGGATGTTATTCACCAGGTGATGTTTCCATGACCTCCATGTCATGAAAAGCTTCAGCTGCCTAATTATACCTCTGTTAAAGAACATTTCCCCCTCCCAGCCTGTTGGTAACACCATAAAAAGGTGGTATGGCATTACATATAAATGGAGACAATCAGCAGATATACCCAGCAATGCTGGTAATTTTCATTAAGTTTTATTTCTTAGAATTTAACAAGATAGTCATAGGATTCAATTGAGCAGAAAGGAAACATGGAAAAGCACTGCCATTTTTTTAAACTATGAAATTATAGAAACTGGGCAGTTTGTGATCTCTCTGTCAAGCATACAGTAGTCATGGTAGATAAATAATAAATTGCTCTACTGATGCAGAAGGAAAAGAGACATACATAATTTTTTTCCTACAAGGAAAAATAACATTCATGCGGGGGGGGGGGGAAGCCTACGGGCACTGGTGGTAGCGGAAAGCTGACTTATGGTGGCCCTGTAGAGTTTTCAAGGCAAGAGATATTCAGAGGTGTTTCGCCACTGCCTGTGTCCACATCGCAACCCAGGTATTCCTAGCCAAGGGCAACCCTGCTTAGCTTCCGAGATCCTATGAGATTTGGGCTATCCAGGTCAGGCCATTACTCAGGAAAAATGAAGCATTTTTCATTCCCACTGATGTCCCTCCAAGGAGATGGTGTGTAAGCATTTGATAAGAGCCACTATGCGAAACTGAGCTGATCTGGATCTGGCCACTGACTGGTGGGGAGAACTTCTATGAGGCCTCTCTGTGTTACCTTGAGTTGCATGATATGAGGAAGGTGGGCATAAACATAATGAAGAAATAAATGCTGGGGAACATAATTGCACCTATTTTGGAACTCAATGCTAATAATGGTTTCCAAACATGCACAACCATGGCAAAAAAGAAAGATCATACATGAAGCAACCCTAAAAGAAGATTGGAGACTGGAGATGACCATATAAATTAAGAGGCAGGACCCATCCAAGCTGTATTAAAGATGCACAGAAAATCAGCACAGCTTCATGTATTGTAGTGCTAATACATTACCAGGACAGACACCAACACACCAGAATGTTCTAATTCCTGTTCCTGTTTCAAAATCAGAGCACCTACATGCCCCCGAGCACCTTGGCAACAGCCCTGCTAATGCTTAACCCCAGAGTTATTTTTAACATATGTCCATCTAATTCCAAGGGTACAAAACTTCACCACAAAGTAACAGGCCTACAATCACCAGCCACAAGATACAACAGATAAAAATCATGTGAAGAGCAAGGGACCCTGCTCAATAAAGTTAATACATATTTAGCTTTTATAGAAAAATACAAGTAATGACTAAATACAAAATGAGGTACAGTTTCAATTGCAGCTCTAACAGAAGGGAGGAGTCTCTGCGGATCGCCAGGGGACATGACTTTTTTTTTTTTAAAAAAAAAGAACAGGATCCATTGATCACCCTCCCGGATACTATCTGGACACCTTCCATGGAGATAGATCAAGATGGGTAGCTGTGCCAGTCTGTAGCAGTAAAAAAGCTTAAAAGTCCAGTAGCACCTTAAAGATTAACAAAATTTGTGGCGGGGTATGAGCTTTCGTGAGTCACTGCTCACTTCTTCAGATCTGAAAAAGTGAGCTGTGGCTCACGGAAGCTCATCCCCTGCCACAATTCTTGTTAGTCTTTAAGGCGCTAATGAACTCTTACTTTTATTTGGACACTCGAATATATCCAGAAAATACCAATGAGGTATTTTTCAGATATATATTCAGACTGGAAATATCTGAATGCACATCCCTATTCTAAGCTGAATTGGTACTAAAACTGGGAAGATCTACAAGAAAAAGATTTACCAACGAATGATAATGGCATCATTAGGTTTGGTGTTGGGTCTCTCTCACCTCCACAGGTGGTTTCAGCAACATTCTTGTTCATATAAGAAAGACAAATCAATTTTTCTTTCTGCACTCTTCCATACAGAGACATGTATGTTCTAATTAATTCTGGAGAAAATCTGATTAACTACTGGCTTTTATATTCTCAAAAGGAATGTGGCCATTTTGTTGCTTCTTTGTTCCAGTAGCCTTTGGCACATCTTGAAATGTGTTTTGCTGCTTACACCTTTTTAATCCAGTTAAATCTGTACCATGTCTTGTATTCCATTTTAAGACTCTTATCTATTGTAGATTCTGGGCTTCTTCTGGGCTTCCTCCAGAAACATCTATCTCTCTCTCCTTTCCTTACTTCCTGCTTTTATGTTGATATTGAACTGGAACTTGATAAAGAGCTCTGGAGAGCTCAAAGACTTTCTCACTGTTTTATGATATTTTGGTAGATCCTCATGAAAAGGTATTTGTGTGCTGTTCATGATTTTTTCTGTGAAACAACATGGTTACTACTACAATCTATACCATGTCTGGATTCCTGTGAGCAGAAAAAACTAGCAGATCCCAGATTAAATTGTATACCACGCTCACTAATCCCAAATTTTACAGAGCAGTCTTAAACAGGGTGAGGTGAGGTATAGGGGAATCATCATCAGCTTTTTTATGTTTGTGGATGGGTGTGCTTTCTTAGGCATGATTAGCATCTGACAGATGGCAGAAGACTTTGAAGTGCTTCCTATGCTAACTTTAAAATTAAAACAGTACTCTCAGAGAAGCAGGAAACGATGTCCTAGTTAAGGTCTCTCCAGTATATTGAGATAAGGAAAGGTCCTATCTTAGGTGGTTAAAAAGTTTCATTCTTGGGCAAAAAGGAAGTCATTCTTCCTTAAAAAAGAAAATACCACACTTTCATCAGCATGACCTAGGCCCGGTCACACGGGCCGGATATCGCCAGGGGGGGGCGTGGCTAATTGCCCCGGTGCAATTAGATCCGCGATTACGCGATCAGACGCGCCGGCGGCACACCACGGTTCCTTCCCTCGGTGCCAGCGGGTAAACGAGAGTGGCGATCACACGACGATCCTGCAGCGCGGCAAAGAAGCGGCATAATCACAACAGCAATCGCTAGGCGCCGCTTCCGTGGGAAACGGGAGTTTTCCCCCCACCAAAGTCCGCGCATGCGCATGAACGAGGAATCAGATCCGCAAAGCCCTGTGGAATGCGGAAGGCGGGTGATGGGTTTAACGGAGAGGGCGACAGATGCTGCTTTTTCTTTCCTCTTTGTGTGCATGCGCCGTTGGGTGCTTGTGCGCATCCTGTGGAGACTTGGAAAAAAAAACCCTTTTCACGACAGGACATGACGGGCGCCGGATGCCACGGGATTCCACCGAAAATGCGATCAGGCGCCTGCCCTTGCCCTGCGGGTTCCGGAAACTAATACCTCGGAGGTACTAGTTTTTTACCCCGCATCTTCGGCGGGAAGCCTCGGGTTCGCCACAGGAGCTCTACGCTTCCCAGATGTGGCGGTGTGAACGTGCCTGGAAAATCCGCCTATCTTCCGTCTCTGTAGCGTGGCTAATGCTCAGTGTGACCACAGCCCTAGTATATGATACTCAACCAGCTCTTATGTGTGAAACTGGAGAAATAGATAAAAATCTAAAATTTTAAGACAAAGGCAATATAAAATACAGTCAGATATAGTTGTCTCTTTATCATAGGCACAATGTATTTGGATCTTTTATTAAATCTTGCAAGATAATTGATACTTGGCAGATACATTCTCTGAGCAAATTACACAATTGCTTGAAGAGCCTCACAAGCTATAATGATGACAATAGTGTTACTTCCCCTCAAGTTGTTACCCTAACTAATCTTTTAAAAAAGAAGAAAGCTGATTTGATGAGAAATCCCAAGTGATTGACAGGGAGGAGTGGGTCAGATAAACTAGGCTCTTGAGCACAGCACAGTAGCTGTGCAATGCAGCTAATCAACTGCTATCGCATTCTAGAGGACAGAGAAAGATCAACTGTTAAAAAAGCTTGTCTTCAACTGTGAAAGCCCTTGGGCAGTCCCAGATCTACTTCCCTTCCTGCGGGAATACCCAATTAAATCTTAAAGATGCAACTGGATGCTCACAACACTGCACAGCATTCAAGTTTCTAAAATCTGTATATACATGAAAAGTAGAAAGCAACACTATGATAAACAGTTCAAAGTGAGTGGATTTTTTGCAAATAGAATAGGATTCCATTCTACTAGCTAGAAGGAATAAACTGGGCGTAACAAGGAATAAGAGATGTGAAAACAAGAAATGTGAACTCTGTGGCTTCTGACACAATGTGAAACCATGGTATAATTGGGCCATGTGACTCTCCCAACACAGGCCATTCCACTAACTATCATTAGCTGGAGTCTGTCAATCCCATACCTGAAATTAGTGTTTAAAGTTGGTTTTAACTATGGCTTTCTGTGACATATGAATACTGCACTTCCAGCTTAATCCTGGCTTGTTCTCTGGCAGTACCCATCAGCACTCCCATTTACAGAGACAGATGAACAGAATAAAAGTAATTAAGCCAGTATTTATTGAGGCAAACCAGACTTTGAGTGCTTTTGTCTGTGAGAAGAACCTTAGTTTCACAAAATAATACCTGAACCGAGCCCACAAAAGATTCACCACAGGAAGGCTGAAGCTCTGTTGCTAGATTTCTTTAAAAAATGAATCTATAGTAAACTTTTTTTAATTATTTTTTAAAACCTTCTAACGTTGTAATTCATTGCATATTTTCTCAGGAATGTTGCCTTGAACTCAGAGAGCCTTGCTTACAAGGAACACACTAAGGGCAGAAATGCTGGTCTTTCTCTCGTATTGATTTCTGAGCTATAAAAATACATCCTTCTAAAAAACGCATTTACTTTACCTGCTTCACTGGAGGGAGGGGCTGCTTTGTGATGAGAAGCTCCTCTGCAGAATCACCTGCCCCCTTGCTCTGATTGCTGGAACAGTAGTGATCATCTTCTATTGTGATTTGTTCATTCTCTTCCGCCTCCAGCTGGCTCTGATTGAAACGCAGGGAACCTTTCAGAATATCCTTGATCTGTTTGTCAAGGAGTCAGGAGGGGGAAAAAAACATTGTTGAGCTGCACCTAACATCTGCCACTTAAAGGCAGTTTTATGAAAACAACTTCCCCATAAACAACCTTCTTACCCATCATTTGCCTGAATGATTCAAGGAATCTTACAAAAGTGACAACTGTGCTTTAAAGCTAAAGCATCAGACCATCAACGAATCTCCTATCAAGGATGGTGAGATATATGGAATATATCTTTAAAAATCAAGTATGCCAATTCCCCCAGATGTAATTAAAGCACTGACATAAGTCACAGTGTGTTGATTAAAGCCTTTTCAAGGACCATGCTATGCAGCACTGACAAAGGGCAAGAGCATACACAGATCATAACTAATATTTCCGCTAAATGCACATACTTCTTTCCTCCCAACTACAATGCATATTGTGTATTAGGAAGAATGATGGTGTGTAAGAAGAGTCCATCCACACTGCATCTCTGTGATAGCAGGTGGGGCAGGAAAGGTTTGTTGCCGTACAAGAAATTATTTAAAATTAAATCAATCCCCCAATCAATCCACTTAACTATCAGGTAGGTATCTTTGGTCAAGTTATCTAGATCAAACCAAATGGTAAAGTCTAGCCTGCTATCCAGGGTAATCATACTCTGGCAAGTGTACAGAGGGAAGGGACCCCAGAGTAGTGGGTCAGCCACTGATACTGCCTATATGTACTTCTTTATCACATGAAGCTGGTACACGTGAGATTCTCAGTTGACATTCACTTCATGCATTCTGTGATGTCTTTAGGCATCGTAAACTAATCTCAGTTTGTCTGTGATGAAAACAAGCTAAGAAGTCCTCAGGCTCTTGTGCTCCCCCCTCCCCCACGTACGATGCAGAAACTGAAGTGCTAACTGAATTCTGTTGTGATGTCCAAAACAAGAAACCTTGTTCTCTTCCCCGTAAACCAGGATCAAGCTGCGGATTAGAATCTTGGTTTGGAAGCAAGAAAATGAAACCAAAGTTTGTTCTTTCACTCAGTTTGGATGTCAAAACCATTTCCCATATGTACATCATGTTTTAGCCACAGTTCTATAGCTTGGAAGGAGCCAAAGCAAGGTCCAGGACACTTCCCCTCCAGTTTCTAAACAGAGGAAGTCAGAGACAGTACTGAGTCACTTCCATGGCGTTAGCACTGGCATGGGGAAGGAGGTAGTTGAATGACAATCTTTCTGCACAGTAATTAACAGTAAGTATAGCAACTCATAAGACACATGTATCAAACAAAACTCCTTCATTCTGTCGAACACAATACCTGCTTCAGCGCAGCCAGGGAAACAAGAATCTCATCTTCTTTCTCCAAGTGCTCCTGCAGTATGACTTCCTGGATATTTCCTGCAACACCAAAACATTATTCATAAGACACAACCAGGTTAACATGCCCATACCAAAATAAATTCAACATAACAATCACACATATGGCTAACATATACTTTTTAACTTGTGGGCACTCAATGAAATTGCTGAGCGGTCGGGTTAGAATGGATAAAAGGAAGTACTTCTTCACCCAAAGAGTGATTCACACATCGAATTCACTGCCACAGGAAGTGGTGGCGGCTACAAGCATGGACGGCTTCAAAAGGGAATTAGATAAGCATATGGAGCAGAGGTCCATCAGTGGCTATTAGCCACAAGGTATAGAAAGGGACTCTGGGGCAAGTGATGCTCTGTCTTCTTGGTGCTTGGGGGGGGTCAACAGTGGGAGGGCTTCTAATGTCCTGGCCCCACTGGTGGACCTCCTGATGGTACCTGATATCTTTGGTTACTGTGTGACAGAGTGCTGGACTGGATGGGCCTTTGGCCTGATCCAACACTGGCGTCTCTTATGTTCTTATGTTTATTGAATGTACCTAAAAATGAGAAGCTGGGGATTTTGTTGTTCAGTCGCACAGTCGAGTCCGACTCTTCGCGACCAGGTCATGCTCAAGATCCTACAAGCTAGGCTTCAACAGTACATGGATAGAGAACTGCCAGAAGTACAAGCTGGGTTTCGAAGAGGTAGAGGAACTAGAGATCAAATTGCCAACATTCGCTGGATTATGGAGAAAGCAAGAGAGTACCAAAAAAACATCTACTTCTGCTTCATTGACTATGCTAAAGCTTTTGACTATGTGGATCACAACAAACTATGGCAGGTCCTTAAAGAGATGGGAGTACCAGACCACCTCACATGTCTCTTGAGAAGCTGGGGATGAGAACCCCTAAAAATCTTCACAGTCATTGTTCAGGATTTCCTTATACCAAGCCACATAAGGACTTGATGATGAAGCAGGAAAGAAATCATGGTTTCTACTCTAGTACCAATACACACCACAGGTTACAGCAGAGCTATGATCTGGCATGTGCATCCCCTCCCCCCCCATTTTCAGTCACACCTGATAATTCCCTAAGATCAGAAAGCAGAAGAATTCCTATGTTCTGGCTCTCTGGAAATTTCCATTCATGCTTCTGCTCCTTTTCAGTACCAGGTCAGGCAAGCACTGATGATTCAATGGTTGAGTCTAGAGTTTTGTAAATTCTTTTATGGCGCAAGACCCAAACATTTTATCATGGGTTGTAGTGCATGTAATCTAGGAGTTTTCTCCCTATCCATTCTCTGATTACAAGAGAGATTTTGAATGTTCACTTTAATCTGAGGATCTGCTCATTTTCATTTGACTGTGTATGTGAAAAGTATGCAGACGGAGAGTGATTTCAACTAAGCATACTTTTATTAGTCAGGAACAAGACGAAGCTGGCCGGCTCACAGGCCGGTTTATATTCCCTCAGGACCCACCACCATAACACACCCCCACTTTCCGATAGGCTATTTACAGTCTGGGACCTAGCCCTCTGATTGGGCCGGTCTAGGATCCTACTGACCCATTGTCTTTAGGCGCGAAGCTTGAGGTTTTTTCCCTGGGCAAGTCCGGACATGCCCGGCCTTGTCAGGGCTGGATACACTACAGTATGAATAAATGCTTTTCAATTTGTGATTTTTATTTTTTAAACTTAGGTTGAAATACCTATAGAGCTCTGCTTCTCCTTGTGAGGAAAGATGTGTGGGAGGGACTGAATCTATGTGAGTTATTATCACATATTCTTTACATACTGAATGTGTGGTAAGACTGCTTCCCTCCATTCCCTGCTTTAATGATGTACATACTTCCTAGTGGGGAATGTGGGGAAAAACAAGTACATGTGAAAAATGGAAAAAGTAAAAGAGGATGTAGGGACAATTCACTATTGATAAAAGAAAAGGAAGAAACAGACCAATCCAATCAATGGTAAAGAAGAGAAAGTGTAAACAAATCACCATGTAAAAGATACACACTGATAATTGACATATGGGGGGATGCTAACCACAAGGTCAGGTGAATGTAATAGCAGCTTAACAGCTAACAGCAGCTTTCTTATTCAAGTGGATTTTAAATGGAGGCTGGATATGTGCAAGTTACTGCATTGTCAATCAAATATTACGGCCATCTGATTTAACAGTAAAAATATCATATGAGTGAATGCAAGAACACCTGGAATAACAGCAGGCAGGAATTTTAAATTCTGCAATGCAGGTTAATATTTTATCATTTTGCCCTAGTTTGAGACTGTATTTGTATCAATAAGCTTGTATTATATATATGAAAAAATGGCCATCCAGTATACATTTTTGCTTTGAAGCATGTTTTTAATCTATATACTAATAGCTGAATCTGAGGATACTTAAATCCAGAGACCAGAGTGGTGAACAGGCAAGACAGATCTTTCTACAAACCTGAACAATGCCCCAGGTTTGCATTAAAATCTCAAATCTAAAAACAAACAAAAAACCAAAAACCACCCGAATGATAAACAGAGCACCTATAGCTTTAAGCAACAGATTCCCCCAGTGGCCGTTGTTAGGCAGTCTGCTTGGTTCTGTCAGTAAAAGGCAGGGGGCGGGAACCCTTTCCAGGTCTATTTTAGCTTTTGAGGACTCATTGGGGCCAGGACTGGCTAGGGTTGCCCGCTCCAGGTTGGGAAACTCCTGGAGATTTTGTGTTGGAGTCTGAGAAAAGCAGGGTTATGGGAGAGGAGAGGCCTCAGCTGGATATAATGCCATAGATTCCACCCTCCAGAGCAGCCATTTTCTACAGGGGGCATATCTCTGTCATCTGGAGTTCAGTTGTAATTCTGGGTGGGAGATCTCTAGGTCCCACCTGGAGGTTGGCAACCCTAAGCATGATAGCAACTTCTGGGTGACTCTTTACAACCCAACTTGCATGACTCACCTAGACCCGGCTGCTTGCTATTCATAAACAGCAACCACCCTATGAAGGACAGTGTTGTATAGCAGTTAGAGCATCAGATTAGGGTCTGGGAGACCCAGGTTTGAATTCCCATCTTGCTGTGGAAGCTCTCTGCATGACTTTGAACCAGACACTTTCAGTCTAACTTATCTCACAAAGTTTTTGTGTGGATAAAAAGGAGAGAAGAATAATTTAAGCTGCTTTGGTCCCCACTGTGGAGAAAAGTGGGGTAAAAATGAAGAAAATATGTAAAGCTCAAGATGGGAGGCAGATAAAAGCTAGGTTCATGAATGGCTGAGAAGGAGAGAATGAGGCAGGAAAAGGGAAGAGGATATAGGGGTTGCTAGGGGAAGAGAAAGAGGAAATAGTGTGGAAAGGGGGATAGAGGTGCCATCCCACAAGTCCTTAGAGTTGCCAGGTCCTACCTTTCTGCCGGTGGAGGGAACGAAGGGCCTTTCCTGGAGATTCTGCGTGTGGCACGATGACATCACCTGGATGTGATGTCAGTGTGCCAATGTCGCTGCAAAGTGATGCTCTAGTTTTCTGGGCAAAACTCTATGATTTGAGCCCAATTTTACCATTGAGTTTTGCCCCAAAACTAGAGCGTTGCAACACGACGTCACTGCCGGGTAATGTCATTGCATCAAGTTTCAGAGCATTTGCCGGTGGGGTTTCCCCTTGCCAGCCAGCTGGCCGAGAGCGGGGAGGAGGGGGGGGGATCCCCACTCAGACTGGGGGGGCTGGCAATCCTACAATTCCTTGAAGGTCCTCTAACATGCACATGGGCCTAGCCCAGTAGCCAGCACCACAAAACTGGGCCAGAGTTTTCCTAGGTAGAGGTTGCCAAGGGGAGAATGCTTAAGACAGATGGGCAGATAGAGGTAGGTGACTGGTGAATGAGAAAGGTTTACCAACTCTAGGTTGGGGGGGGAAGCCCGGAGAGGGCGGGGTTTGAGGAGGGGAAGGACTTCAAAAGGGTATAATGCCATAGACTCCATCCTCCAAAGCAGCCATTTCCTCCAGGGGCACTAGGGTTGCCAACCCCCACATTGGGTCTGGAGATCACCTGGCATTACAACTGATCCTCAGATGACAGAGATCAGTTCCCCTGTGGAAAATTGATCCTTTGGAGGGTAGACTCTGTGGCATTATACTAGGGTTGCCACGTCGTTTCTCAGCCGCAGCGGGGGACTCCGGGGTGGCGAATGGAGAGCGAATGTACGTCACTCGGAAGTGACGTTACGACGCCGGGCACGCTGGGGGCGGGGCCACAACCACTGGAGGGAAAACCATAGAGTTTTCCCTCAGATGGTCGTGGCCCCGCGCCCAGCATGCCCGGCATCCTAACGTCACTTCCTGGTGACGCGCACATCAGGGGGTGGTTCCCCCCGGGGCCCAATCCGCCGGCAATGGGGAAATGGGCCTCTGGGGCAGGGATTTTCCCACCCCCCTGGGGGGACTTGGCAAGCCTACATTATACCCTGCTGAGGTTATTTCCCTCATCAAACCTCCCACCCAAGGTTCAACCCACCCCCCAACATCTCCAGGAATTTCCCAACCTGGTACTGGCAACCCTAAGGAGAGAAAGAATCAGGAAAAGGGGAGAGTCTATGGGGCTTTCAGGAAAGAGAAAGAGGAAATAGTGGGGGAGGTGAAAATAAGATGTCTCCTGCAAGTCCTTGTAGGTTCCTGCTTGTCTGATATAGTTATCAACTGTAATATCTAAAAATAATAAAAATTTTAGGAGTGGCATTAAAACAGAAGAAAAGCTTGGAATATCTTTGCTGGAACAATGAACATGGATATTATGAAGCTGTATTATGAGACCGATAAATTATCTGCAACACAAACAAAATCCTGTTTTTGTGTCCTAAATAGCTTTTTTGAGTTATGGCTGGTGTCGTTCAGAAGCAGATGAAACCCATGATTCTACTTCACAAAATATTTAATTAATGTGTACACTTCAGTATTTGTCTAATACAAGAAAAGATGTCTTTGTTTCAAAATAAATGTCTAGCAATTGGTGATATATTTCTAGTGATTTTTCATGCACAGGTTAGGATTTAATCA